CCCCCCCCCCCCGCCCCCCCATTTGCAGCACTTTTGTCCTTTGTTGGGCAACACATATCACACCGAGTACTGTACACGCGCACTAGCTGCATACTGTGGGCGCCCAGCGACAAGCGCGCATTCAACCTACGTAGAACCGAAACGTGGCGCCAACACCACGATCGCAAACGGCACTCCACGGCACACCGGGCACAATTTTCGCGTGTTGCCACACATCGTTCGTCAGTATGGACCAGCGGTCCGCCGCGCGCCACTGCCGCAGTGCCTGCGCCAGCGCGAGGCGCCCAATCAAAATAAATAAGGAAGATCACACAACCGTCACCATCAGTAGCACGTTACACGAACGAGACTGAGAGGAGAAAAGAATGAGACAATAATGTCAATAGTATCTCGACACATACATTGTACCTGGTCGGCGTGGAACTGAGAAGGGGAGCAGATCCACACGGCGTCCACGTCCGGGTGGTTGATCACGTCCATGGCGTCCGACGAGAATTCCGGGACGTTGTACTTGGACGCCGCCGCCTGGGTACATGCGTAGTCGGGTGGTGCGGAGGGAGGGGCCGAAAGAGGGTTCACGACTGGAACACGTGACATGTATTGATCTCTTTGGCCTCCCAACAACTTGCGCCTCATTATTCATGGCAAGGCAGCTATAATAGTGGTATGAGCTACTTGCCATACACCCGCAGTTCGGGGAATCGGTCTGTAACGATGGGTACAGTAGCAGATCGTGAACGGTTTGGACCTAGAGAAAGCGGACTTTTCGTACCGCACCTGCGGCATTCGCAGCAGGGATTGACGGTCTTATCATTTAGTGACTCTGTATTTCCATGGGCATTTACGCCCGCTGCTTGCAGTCGACGTGGGGCCCGTTTACGGCATGCGTATACCGAACACTGCACACCACACTGCACACCACCCCATGTGAACTACTCTCGAATCTTGACGCGGAACAACAGCACCACCAGCGAAGCAGTAGCGCCATATCACCTTACCTCGGCTTTAGATACGGTGGGGTTGCTGATGATGAGGGGCTTCGCGTTGGCGCAGCTGGATAGCGCCTCCAGGTGCACCAGCCCGATCCTTGATATTAAGGCACACCAACAAAAGCCGAGCGACATGGGGTGTTCGTCATTTCCAGCAAGCAAGTTGGATGTTTGCTGCCCGATGGCACCCCTCGTCTTAGACACAACTGGGACCGCCTCGTCCACCGCTTGTCTCACGTTCTTGGACTCCCAAACGGGCGACCGACAATCCATCGGCTCCAACATAGACTACTGCTGTAGGTGCAAATAACAAATCTTGAATAATGACCGCGAGGTTACGTGCTGAACGATGCTCCGAAACGCGAGGTGCTAAAACAATAATTTTGCTGCTGTATAGGACGTGAATGCACAGCAGTGTACTTGTTCGCCGCCTACTCTCCATGTGGAGGTTGAGGTTGAGGTTGCACACACTGCCGCTTGTAGTCAACGCTAAGATTTACAGCTGTTTCATGTCCAACACATCAAACGTTCCTACAACTGACTGTACATTCTTACATGCGCTACACCAACTGCTGTTAGGTGTTCCAGTTACAGAGGCTAAGGTAGCGACACACCCGTTCATCAGTTGTGAACGGAAACACGTGCAACCTTCTCAACCAAAAGCGGTTCTGGGTTTACTGCCTGCCTTTGCAGGGCGATGAGGTGGCACCATCGTTCTCGAAAATATGAACGGCCTGCTTGTACCAGCATGCTGCAGCCCCGCCCGCAACGTTTGAACACACCACACGTCGTACCTTCCTGCACCAATGACACCCACGTTGATGACCTTCATAGACAACCCTCCCATGCTGCTGCCGCTCCCCTCCCCCCTCAAGGCGCTGCATGACACCCCCGATACAAACGAGGACGCCTCCAGCTGCTTCAATCCGGCTACGGGGTTGGAGGTGGAGGGAATGTGCGACAGCTTGGAGCCAGACTGCCTGAGTGCGTTAGTCCGCGCAATCCCAGGAGTCAAGAAGGCATTGCTGCTGGTAACCAGTAAAAGGCTCAAGACGATGCTCCCTGCTGCAGCCATGCCGCCTCTTTATGAACGCAACAGCTCGCTGCTCCAAGCAGCAGTGTGGTGTGAGCACACATGGACAAGCCATACGTCAGTCGATCTCCATGATCTACGAAACCCCCTTGGCTCAGAGTTTTCCTTCTATTTTTTCAGTAATCAGGTGCCCATGGCTGAATATCAGTGTAGCGATTCCACGGGTTAAAATAAGCCTAGTGCCCAGCAGGTTCCCCCCCCCAACTCACTGAAATGAATTTCATCACCCCCCCTTCGACGTCACCCCCGGTGTTTACCATCGGGGTTGGATTTCCGTCGCTTGGCAACGACGTTGTAAAACAAGCCGCCCCCCCCCTTTTTTTTTTTTGCGGTAACCGTAATAATGGTGGTCGAGTGGATCATTTTGTGCGGGGTGGAGAAGCCTCACTCCGCGCAAGGGGGATNGAACTCATATGCAGCTGTCATCCGTGCGCAAGGAAGTAAGCACAAGATGCCGAACACCCTT